TTCTTGCTTTTAATGTAATGGTGACAGAAGTATTGAGATGAAACTCATCAGCTTCAAACACCAAAACCTGATTACGAGTATCATTGTACCTGTGAGAGATTGAATAATTATAAAATAAAAGAGAAATTGTTGAAGACCTGCAAACTATAGCTGCCATCTTTGTGTGCGTTGTTGGTGTTTTGTCACTTATGCCTGAGTGAATTCTTTAATTGTTGCTGTTGTTTATGTTGTTGTTGATTCTTGTGCTGTTGTTGTTGTTTCCATTGTTTCTGTTATTGTTGCTGATCGATACAATTACATAGTACACAAGCAATCCTACTGTATATTACAGGCAACATTAAAAGGATTCAAGATGTATGTTGTAAATTCTAATACAATGACGTAATCACTGACTGGAATTCTAAGAGAGAGACCTGAAAACTTGAAAGACTTTACCTAGGTGAGGCACTAGGAGCTTTATCACCACTCACGATATTAATCTTCCTTAATGGCTGGATAGATGATGAAACATGCCTTAAGAGTTCATGTGGTAACGCCACTTCAAAGAGAACTCTATAAGCATTTGATGTTGATTGTGCAGTATGCRATAAAACTGCTGTAAAATCCACTTGCTGTGAAGGGTTGACTTTCATAGTTGGAGTCACAGATGTAGTCACACGAAGCTCTGGCTTGATTACCTACATGTAACAAGTTGTAAWAAATTTCAGTCGAAACTTTTAGATTGTTTWAAAAAATCATATCAACCTTACCTTAAGTTTAATACTAGAGGATTTTAACGTTGTCCCATCATGGAATACCCGAGTATTGATGGTTACAAACTCTTTACTAGCCATAGCRATGCCATCCAAAGCGCGAGCAGTAACTTGGAAAGATATCATACTATTACTAGCTGAAAACTGCTTCCCAYTGTTGACCAGTAACGGAAATAGACTATACAGCACTGGAGATTTGATGGTTACAGGAATGTTGACAACACTTGAAGATGTTGCTATCATTGCTGCAAAAACCAAAAACCATGATATTACAGCAGAAACYGTTGCATCTCGACTTCAATGCTCATAGGAAATCATTGGGATTTAGGTTTTTCCGCGATTGGGGTGGAGCTCGATAAAAATCAGCCCCTCAGATCAAAGGAAAGAACAAAATCCAAACAAACTTCAAAACAAAGMAGTCAYGATGCAASGATTTCCGCTGTAATTAGAACAACACAAACAGCAAATATGTAAATAAAACTCCTATTATAACAATTCAAATAATGTTCTTGACTCAAGAAAAGGCYCAGAAGAGTCTCCTGTAACAAGTTTTACCTGATGTTTGCAGTGGACCAGAACCAGTTTGTAAATCTGATCCAGCTGTAACAACACCTTCAACTATCACAGCTCCATCACCTTCCACTAATACAGCAAAGTTTTTCATTGATGCTAAGGGTAATGTTACTGTTAAGCCAAATGTTATATTTTCACCAGGAGCTATCACTGTCTGGTCATCAGGACTTAAAAATGAACTTCCAGAAATGTGCGAACCACCAGTAAAGTTTGCTGATTTGATCTTGGAAATGTCCTGTTTGAGTGTTGTGGAAGTGATTCTATTCCATGAGGGACGTTCATACTGCACTGTTAGGGAAAGCTTCACAATGCCGTCAACTATAGCAGTTGGCAATACTTCTAACTTGTAATTTATCATCAGTTTTGAGCCTGGAAGCATAGTGTAACTGTTCAAAGAAAGAAACACTTTGTTATCATATCATTAGCTAAACKTATTGCAGTATATATACAATCTAGATGTCAAGCTTGGATTTGTTTTTTTATGTTCTAATTTGTGCTGTTATTGTACATWCAAATTTTCAAGCATTCGAAAAACTCAAAAGGCTGAAAATCTCTCRCCTCTGGCTCAAGATTTTTTTGCCTTTTTCGTGTTCTCCCAACATCCCGTGCGTTTTATTTCACCAGGAACGCATGAAAATGTGTTGTTTAYTACTTTTATATTAGCATTTTTGCATCCATGTACTTACCATCCTCGGAAACCCAGGGGTAATCTTCTGTCGTTCGTTCCTCACTCCCAGAAAAAATACCCCTGGTCACGAAGTCTGTTAGACCTTGTTCTCGATTCGAAATTCAAAATGGCGACCAGTAAGTTAATCAACCAATCAGGATGTGGCGAGTGAATCACTTGACCAATCAGAAATTTACCGGCCGCCATTTTGAATTTCGAATCGAGAACAAGGTCTAACAGACTTCGTGCCCAGGGGTATTTTTCCTGGGAGTGAGAAACGAACGACAGAAGATTACCCCTGGGTTCCCGAGGATGTGTACTTACCGGTGAAATAAACAATAACATTTTACCAAGCAGAGAGCGCGCTCTAGATAGCTAAGATAAAAAAGTTAATAAACTTACTTCCAAGGCAGAGAATGACCAACTTCAGTGCAATTATTTMGAGGGTCACAGAAAGTAGTGGTATTAGTATAGTTTACATAAGGAAGAAATTCCATCACTTTTGGTATGTCTACTGATTCTGTTGCATAGTGAGGGTTGGTTATAGTGCACTCCAAAGAGGCGTTGTCATAAGCCTGCGACAATGGCTGAGTTTTGATTATATTTATACCAATATCAAGATATGGCTGGCTTAGGTTAAACTGCACATTAACTGGACCAAGAGTCTTAGTATCACCAGCAATGTCTTTAAACTCAACTCCAAATGTCACATTACCAGAGGTATATGGTATATAAGGTTGTGAAGCAACCAACACTACTCTAATATTGAAAGTTATAGTCCCATCTTGTGTAGTACTTGATGTTATACCAAATTCAAATAGTCCTTGTTCATTATAGCCGRGGTTGGCAATGCCAGCAGGATGATATCCTGGTCCATATTGTGGAGACTTAATGCCACTACTCATAGTYTCWACTTTTGTWTGCCCAACCACAAAGCCTAGATAGACATTGGTGTTGAACTTTGGCATCTGAACAATAAAAGTTAATTGCGTCGTTACACTGGGGTAAGTGAAAGAAACACCTATATCGGCATACTCATGGTCGACAAGCTGATTGTGYGGTGTTTCGCTAAAAGAAGTGTCTAATAAATTTGCAACTAAATTCTTAGGAGATGAAGTTGGATATTTTGCCAAAYGTATGGTCTTGTTATCTGCTATGGTTGAAAATTGACCAGTTACTTCCACATATGAACTGGGTGGTAYTGTACTTAAAACTTTGAAAGAGTATGAAAGATTGCTTTTCCATGTGACATTGAATGCATTGATGTTTATTGTAGTGTTAGATTGTGACACATTCAAAGCAGGAGTGCAGTTAGTATGATTAGATTCAAGATGACTGTATTTATCAAGTGAAATCAATTGTAGAAATAAAGGCACAAGAAGAACTCCTTTAAAGTTAACACCCTGGCAARCTGGTGCATTTTCAAAATGGTCCTGCAAAGTGTAATCAGAAATGTTGATAAAAATGCTGATGGTATCTCCTCCTTGTAKTATAGGTGATGAAGAAAACGATGTTGYAGACACTGTGACTCCATTGCCAAAGCTTATGGAGGAATTCATTCTTGTTTTGTAGTCTTCAATAACGCATACATCTGTAATTATACAAGTGGTATTTGTCATCATTAGCTACTGACATCTTTCAACAGTCATTTATTTAAGCGCTTATAAAAAATCTGAAGAGATGCCCAAAGATCAAGATTTGTTTACAATATATGACAAGAAAGTGCATCGCAGGTGTTCGCGTGTGGTTACAGGGAAGACTATGGCTGTTTGCGATMATTGTAAAGCAAGGTATTGTATATTTTGTCTTCACCAAGTAATGATATAATAGTGTCAAAAGTTCATCCAATGTATGTACAATAAAGATCATCTTACTGAATACGTCGRCAGATAACATATCACTTAAGATCATAACAACTACTACTTCAAGGATGATTGCTTCGTACATAGAATTAGGCTTAACTAACTTTGATCGATTCGTTTAAATCAAGCAAAACAACCTTTTCCATGTTACAAAACTTACTTAATTAAATCCATTGCATTCCAATCAATTTCTATTAATATTTCTCTTCGAATCAGCTGAATAATATCATTCGAAAATGACTCAAATGAGCAAATAATYGTAATGACGACCACAGATAACCATTGTCCTCGGCCGCCATCTTGTTTTGTCATCGAAAAACACCGTTGCCAAGCAACAAAGTGAAGACTTTCCCGCTAAAAGTACAGTAAAAAGCGATCAATATTTATGACAAAAATACTATTGGTTTACCATAGTGTCCTGAACGTCTATCTTAATAACTATTGGACTGTATTTACTGCACAAAACATTAAATAATAATTTCTTCTAGGCCATTAAAAATTTTAAGGATTTTTCTTCAAGTTATCTCATGTTCTTTTCCGGTCCCATTGGACTTCGGTCCTTGCAAATTAGTCTGTCAGAATTAAATAAAGGTTCAACTGAACAGGTATTTTATTCCAAATCTCTTAAATAGTTACTATGATATAATTTYCTCATTATTGTTGGTGAACGCAATCTCCAATAACATTTTTGCGGTGAAAACAGTTTTGGTCACCATGGTCACATGAYTTCACTTTTTGAGGTAAATGCAAAACCGCTATAACATTAACAATTCAACTTAAAATAACAATGTCCAGRCTATAGGGTCAAATCATTTCTCTTGTGGTGAAATCTTCTAGCTGAGTATAATATCCCTGGAATGTTGGCTTCGCCGTTGGACGCAATGTTTTTTTTGTGGCATTGAACCAGAGCAGTTCCGCGGTAAATGAATATGAAAATATAAATGGGCGATTAAGGGAAACTATACGAGTTCACTTCATTTTTATGATTCCTTGAAGGGCAGTATTGCCTACCCTTACAAGAWCTCGTCGAAAGATTTGCTCCCCCCACACTTAATCAGAGAGGAGCTAAACGAGTGTCGAACTCTCTACTTGTACTTCCATCACCGACAAAATAAAATGGAGTAGAATGTTTGTTATCAGCAGGAGATAGCAAAGATGATACCCTTGAAACTAAGAAATCAGCAGTTGAACGTCTTGCCTGAGATGGCCAAGCGGTAGCCTCCGTGCAGCCGAACCAATGTGTTTGAACACAACAACAGTTGTTCGGCTGTACGCAAGGCAGCCAAGCGGTAGGGCGTGTCCATCCCCCGTGGTTTAAGACAYCGTTATTAGGGTTATAGTTAAGGTCCACAGGGTGCGGCATAGGTTGATCGGATACTGGTATAAGTTTCTTTGTGTTGTTTTCTTGTTTGCGCCATTTGGATCTTCTATTTTGGAACCAAACCTTTGGATCAAACACATTCAAAATATAAGATCACTATCAAAATCTACAAGACCTTCTTTTCAAAACTAAAAGCCGCTGCTGTATATTGATAACATTCATTACGTCATAATTATTACTTACCATGACACGGCTCTCACTAATTCTGAGTTCTTTAGCGAGAGATTCTCGCTTTGCGATTCCTGGATATCGGTCATTTTGAAAGCTGCGTTCCAGTCGCTTGAGCTGGCAGGCAGCGAAAGCTATTCGCTTACGACGAGTTCTTTTCTGATCTTTAACTACAGCTGATATACAAAAAAATCAACAAAACAAAGTCAGTATTACCGACACGATCATAATTGATATGATACAACGCTTGACAATATATAAACTAAAGTCATCACAAAACTAAAAAGAACTACTACAAAATTAGTAAAGTTCGTTCATATCAGCCCGGAAATCAGCCTGAGGCTGCTCTGCATCCTCTCGCAAGGGCGGATTTAGGGGTGGGCCGAAGGGGCCGCGCCCCCTTTTTTTCATTGAAAAAAAACTTGAAAAGATCCTTGTCAATATCACTGAAAATGCTGGAAATCGCATTTTTGACGGTTTAAATTTCAAAATTTKTSGGYCTCTCTTTTTTGGGCCTCTCATCGTGTTGGCGTTCCTTGCGAGTCCTTGATATGTTTAATTTTGATTAAAAGTTGAAAAGAGAGAATCTATATAGGAAAAAAAAACAACAACAGCAAAGAAAAAAGAAGAAAATAAAAATAAAAAAAATATGAAGAAAAAAAAAAGGAAACAAAAGAAAAAGAAACATTCTACAAGAAAAAAGAGAAACTCCAGCAGCAGGATTCGAACTCAGGACTTTCACTTTAGGGAACGATGCACCCCCCGGAATACATAGGAAATAATGAAAATAAAAAAGCTAAAAAGATGGGACGATTCCCCCGAGACATTCTATGAAGCTGAGGCGTCGAATCGGCTTACGWTACGGTTAGAGATTTCGGCTCTTCCACGCTATCCCGAGTGAACATAAAACTTAGTCTTAACCAAAAGGCCAGGGAGTGAGGGGGTAGCCGCCCACTAGAGCATACCTTTAGCTACCCTCTTAGACCATCGTACTATGAAGACACTTAATATATATAATATCTAATTGGGGTAGTCTATTCGGTGAAGTTTCTATGCTAATATATGACGTCACCAAAATCCTTAGGGAACAGCGAGCCAATCAGAGCTCAGCACAGGAATTAGCAAAAGATACAGGGTTTGAATAATCATTCTTCAGTGGATTTATTATTTGATGTGGGGGGGAGGAGTGGGGATGGGTGCTGAGTGGTTATTTACGCCCAAATACCGATGTGCTCGCTGTAATGTGACGGCTTTCACCGAGCTGTCAAATTGTCGTTATTGTTTTCCAATTCATCCCAGGAAAATGTGTACAGTTCTCATGTCAGACAGACATTACTRGTATTCAAGTWAACRGCACAACAAAAATCTCTTGATCTTAACGTTAGTGGTTTACAGACCAGGATCGAAMCAGGCARATACTAGCTGTTGCCAAAGATTTTCCRGGATATTAACTCCAACATTACACTCGAACGTTCAACATTTTCGTTCTTGATAATATAAAAGTTAACAAATGGATTAATATTGATTATCAAATAACTATTAAATCTAAATATAGTGTTAACAATTGAAGAGGATGAATGACAATCCGTATAAAATTGATAAAGAAGCGAAGAAAAACTTAGTAATCTTTAGGTTTTGAAAACTATAATCAGGCAAATAAGAGTAATAAAAACATGGATGTAAAATACTAAAAATAAAGTTTAAATAATATAAATATTTTATAGAACAAAACATTCAAGAATTTACATCAAAGCTCTTAGGAYTCCATTTATAATCGATTCCTTTCCCCGAATCTATCAGAAGGATATGTTTATTAGGCAGGGAAACAGGGCGCCCCGCGTCAGGCCCCTTCGGGAGGAATCATCAACCATAACAATAGGTTCCTTGGGAATCGCCGCCTGGTGTGTATTTATAGACAACGTAATGCTTGATCACAACTTGATGCTTTTAGTTCTTTGTAGGGTATACAGCTGATTAAAATATAGTGTATTCCAAGGGCGAAATGCATTGTGGGTCTTTCTATCACCGTTCACCATTCAAAAGGAGCTTTCATTTAATTTAGAATTGCCATTTTGTAAAGAAGCAAACTCGAAGTTGACTAAATCTCTTAGGCCCTGTTTACATGAGATAGGGTGCTCCAACGTGGTAGGACTATTAAATTCATTTGTTTTCTTTTTTCCTGGAGGATTGATAACAAAAGAGTTTAGCTCTGCATCTAGTGCCACCCTATCTTATGTAAACTGAGGGCCTGAGTCACATGCAGTCGTCAACTGCCTATTTTTATACCCTGTTACATATGATTTTTCACAAGTGGATCAAAATAAATATGGTTTACGACATAACAGTCCAAGGTGAGTCGCCCGCAGGAAGATAGCGCCGTATAATTGTCCTCAAAATCTACTTTACGTTACCAAGATTGTAGCCCGGCYGAGTTTCATCCAGCGTTACTCGTAAGCGTTTATAGTCGTAACCGGATGTACTCAGGCTACAAGATAGCTAAGAAGGACAAGAAGTAACCATGCTAGATGGACGTTCCCACGGAAATACTGGTAAACTTTGCTTTTGTCATTGAAACGAAGAAGCGATTGATAAATAACTGTTTTCTCACCTTCATTGGAGGTCTTGGAGCGACTTTTGTGGTTGCTCATTTTCCAGGAAAAGGACTAATCAGAGACAGAGATGATCTAGGTCAGAAGAAATGGCTAAAGAAGGTAGATTGAGCAAGACACTTTACCGAACCGACGAAACTAGTGTTTCAGCTGTATTCGGTTATTCAGAAAGAACAAACGTGTGAAAAGTGTCAATAACTTCTTCAAACTATTGTTATCGAACAATATAATTGGCTGAGCACTTGACAGCTTTCGCGTGCGGTAAAACTAAGGAAATTTGATCACTCTGTATGGAATATTTCTGTTGTTACGATAAAGGATATTTATACTCCGCGGATTAAACATTTATAATCATAAATAAAATGTAGATGTGGCGAAAGGTAAATAGCCTTTTGTACTAATACAATATAAATAATAACAGATACGAACAGATACTAATAATAATAGTAATAATGATATGAAGTAATTAAAATGGCGATGGTAGAATTATCAATTGAGTCTTTACGCAAGATAAAGAGAGAGAGAAAAAAAACTAATAAAAACGAGCATTAAGAAAAAGAAAAGTGAAAAAAATGGAACTTCAGGAACTTCAAAAAAAGAAAGAAAGAAAGAAAGAAAACGAACGAAAAAACGAGAGCGAGGCAACTCAGCCCCAGTTTCCCCAACTTTAGCTCGWTCTCCTATCAAACATTCATCATGGCGTCTGATCGCTCGGTGTTTGATCTGAGGCTCACATTCGGCTTGGTTAGGTCCTTCGTTTATCTCTAAGTCCTCAAAATGACTCTCGCTAGAGGAGAACGAGAGTGGGCATTGCTCGTTAGCGAGGTGAGTTCGTATCTTAAGCGAAATTTCCCACATAAAACAATAATATTCYGAACGGTAAGCTTACATTTTGTTTATCTCCACAAGGAAATTAAGCTTTTTTTATATTTTAATTGATGAGACAGTGCTTTTAATTCGTATACAAAACACTGTTGTATGGAACATAATATTGTCATCTTTAGCAGTGTCATATATTCTTATGTTGTGAAGCGACATTCTGGATGCACTTTTTTACGCGTCACTGGTCAAGAAACATCTTGTACACAGCCTTACGTGTCCCCAATTAAAAACCCTCTTCATTGAAACCGCTATTACCTATAAACCACCAGGAGTTATTTCAATATAATCATTATCTCAGATGCAGTATTAAGTGTCCAATTTAATATTAATGTTTCATTAATCGTTTGGTAGGCCTGGTGAATTTAGTGTGTGCAAACAATGTTTAATCTTATTTCCCGAGACTGTATGAAATTTGCATGTGAAATTATTTCAAGTCATCGATGCTACCTCATTGTTTCACGTGAATTGGCCATATAACTCATACAAGCTTCGGTTTATAGGAATAAATCAATCATATGTTCTATTTATTATTATGATAAACATATCTTGGTRTAAAATAAATGATTTTCAGGATCTKTCAGCTTTATTTGCTTTGTTATGTTGTTGTCTACAAACAAGAGTCATGTCACACTATGACCAGTATTCAAGTGGAATCATGGCCGTTGTGGYCATAAATCCAATACTTTCATTTTGTTGTAATAATGTGAGATACAATGATCTCCCTCTGTGCTACACTCTTTCATAGCTTAGAAACCGTAACACATAATCACTGATGATAGACAATCAGTCTGAAAGTTTGGCACTTTTTGATTAAAATGCATCATAAACTTTTTGTAGCAGACTTTAAATGTGCATCACATGCTGGTATCTTTGTATAATATAAATGTTCATTGGTGGTGACTAGGCAGAGTATTGCATACCAATATCACTGTAATGTGCATCTGTTTCAGTATAACATCTGTAAGAAGAAGCTAGAGAGCAAAAGACAAGCACTGAAGATTTTAATGGGAGACTTRGAATCATGTCAAAGAGAACGAGATATCTACAAGAATAAAATCAAACAAATGGTATTCATTTATCCATTCTTGCATTTATCCATCCATTCTTCCATCCAGTCATTTATTAATTCATTCAGTCTATGTGTTCATCCATTTTATTAACTTTGTATAATTTTTTATGTAAATTTAATGCTTATTCATTCATGAACTCTATTTACATAGATGATRGTGTAAATTATATTTTTCCATATATTTCAAGTTTATGTCTTTTGAATTTTGAAAWGAATAAATCTTTTTGTGGTTGTCCAGCAACATGAAATAGAGAATTATAAAAAGAAAGAACTAGAAAACGATCACAAAGAAGCCAAAGGAAGRAGGTCTCCTACAAGTCCTTCTGTACGTTCACCTGAACACACAAGACCAAAGGTAAATATAGACAAACTGRCAGTGAAACAAATTTGAGTGATGAATGTGTCACTAATGTGTCTCAATCAATTCTTGTCTCCCATCATTTTTAGAGAGTYGAGCGAAAGTTCTCTGGACAAAGCATATGGGAACAAGAGCTTCARAGTGTAAGAGACAGAAAAAATAAGGTTGGTATTTTCAGMGGTTTTGACATTATTATTTACTCTAAAAATAAATTCTACTGTCTTGTAGACGCTTTCTCAATTGCTTTGTGAGTCAAGAGAGGAAAATAAGGCGTTAAAGAATGATTTTATGGATTTACGARTCTTATATCGTGAAGCTCAAGAAGATATCATTCTCCTAAGAGAAAATGTCTCTCGACAAAGAACTAATGAAAAAGGGTRTAAAATGGAGGACTTAGAGGTTAGACAAGAACTTATACAACGCCTTGAAAAGAACCAAGAAAAGGTATGTCAATCACAATATATCAAGTCTCCTACACCAATAGACTTCTGAACCTTTTATGTCGCTACTTGATTTGCAATGAATTATGGGATCAGTTTCTAGAGAAAACAAAAGAAATCTGCCATGTTTTGTCCCAAACATATCCTACAGTGCATTGCGTATATGGTTCATGTAAAAGCTTCAGAGGTTTATTAAAGCATTGTCAAGAGGATTTAGCAATAGATAATGTGTCATTCTACAGTAAGTTTTTTTAATATTTTCTGTTGGTTAATGCTGTCAAAATGTGACTAGATTGAAGAGTTGGAAAGGGAAGTTCAAGCATCCAATGATGAAAAAAGTGAAATTGTCATTGAGGTAAGTACTGTAACAAGACTTTAAGGTATGTCACTTTTCCTTACACATTGCTTGTATTACAGAGGGATCACTATCGAGATAAAGTAGAGAGACTGAACACACAGTTAAACTTCATTCTTGGAGCAGATGAGAGACGGCTTGTTGATATTGATGCTATCTTGATGGAAAACAGGTAAAATACAACAGTATTTTCTTGTGATACGTTTGCATCAAGATGGTCATCTTTCAGATATTTACCGAATTGACAGAAAATGTTCTATTTCTTTTTTWATATCAATATTGATGTGATTTGGTCCAATTTAGGTATCAAAAGGAACAAATTAAACAGTTAAAAGAAGAAATGAGGATTGCTAATGCTTCTCTTGCTAGACAAAAGGTAAAGGAATGAGTTTCATATCAGTTTTATTTACCAAATGAGTTGTCGCAATGATAAATCGTCTACTGCTATAAGTTCTCTCTCATTTTGATGAATAGATACTATAAGATATACARCCTTTTGCAAAAATTATGAGAATTGTCTAAATATCTAAATATCATAATATCCATATCCATATATTGTCCAGAACACGCGGGTTTGCTAGAATAATTCATTGTTGACATCGAGAAAATGTTCAGAACTACGGATAAGTCTGTCGCCAAAAAAAAACTAAACTACAAAGACAAGGGACTAAGGGCATTGCGCGAGATTACCCATCATGCACTCGATATTATGATATTTAGATATTTCAACAATTCTCATAATTTTTGCAAAAGGCTGTAATGGATACCATAAGATATAATCATCTTTAGGCTGCAATAGAGAAAAAGAAGGCAAGACTTGTAAAAGCTGGTTACCATACTGGACCTGCGACATTTGGAGGCGGACCAGCAGSAGTCAAGCAAAGTATTTCAAGCATTTTTCATTCTATTACCATTCATTATTTCCCAGTCATCTCTTCCCTCCCTGCTYTTTCTCTTCTCAAATGTTTCCATCTTAATCTTATTTGTTTTCTGTAATTTTGACTATTTTTTTCTTTCATTTTTTTATTATTCCTTCCCACATTGCTCATTCCTGTTTTCTAGTTTTTTATTATTCCCTCTTTTCAATGCTATTTCCCTTTTTTATTTCACAAACTTATTGCTTGTGCATAAAGAAATAAAACAGTGATATCTGTACCCTTTGCAGCATTGCCATCTCTTATTGCTGACATATCWAGCAGTTTTAATCATGGAGTGTCATCATCAACTGTCAATGATCTACAGTCTTTAGCCAACTCTCTGTCTGAAAGTTTATCAGAAAAAGACATTGCTTTGCTTCATCAAAGAAACACAAACAAGTAAGTGTTCACAAGCCTTTTTTCTTTTAGTTTGATTCAAAACCAAGGTCTTTCTTGTGCAGCACCCTATCCTTCCTTGTAGATTATGTTTATAATATATATTATACATGTATGTGATTGCAGAATCTTAGGTCAGAGAGTTGCTGAGCTTGAAAAGAAACTTAAAACACTTGAAGTATCTGGACTGTGGTCTTTGGAGGGTATGAAAAACTTTTTTATGTAAAGAMATTTACTATGAAACCAGGATCTTGATCATTGTTTGATTGATTCCAGGTCACCATGGGTATGGCTCAGAAGAGCTGCTTCAACTTTACCTGGAAAAGCTAAAAAGATCATCCAGTATGTCTCATGATGAGTCATGTGATGCAATTAAGGTACCAGACCATGACTCAGAACTGCCATCAGCAGAATCCAGTCCTAATTTACAAAATGGAGAGTCAGTGTTCTTTGACAATGATATTCCAGACACTGACCAGGAATTGATTGATGTGGGTACATCAAGTTTTACACCCACAATATCTGRTGAGGAAGAAGACAATCACAGTGAAAATATTGACACTTTTAACATTGACTTAAGCTCTTGTAGCAGAGCAACCAATGACCTGGAGCAACAAGSAAATGAAGGGCAATTCTATAATAGGAGAGATTCCCCAGAGCATAAGGAACATGATATCGAAGGGGATTCCCCTTTAAACAAAAGTGACAAGGAGGAATCTTGTGGAGAGGAAGACTTCTCATTGGATGAGGAATCTCATACATCAAGTACTTCCCAATTGGAAGGGGATTCCCATGCAATCAGTATTTCCCAAATCGATGGGGATTCCCTTGAAACAAGTAAATCCCAAATCGATGGGGATTCCCATGCAACAAGTACTTCTCCAATAGATAAGGATTTAAGTGTCAAAGGAAATTCCTTTTCAGCTCAACTTAATGATTGCTCTGCGAAGACGTCAGAAATTCCAGATTTAAAAGAAAATACTTTGGCAAATACTGCCACAAATTCAAWTAAACAGGTCACAGACAATTCAGCAATTGCATGTGGTGATAATAGCAAACCATGTAATCAATCARGTGAMCGGTCAAATACAACAGATGAATATGGATTATTAGAGGAACAATCATATGGGATTAAAATGGACAGTTCTGAGGATATTAATGATGATCACGGCAAACAAACTGTGSGAAATCATCATGGGTTACTTCAAGGTAACGTTTCTGTTACAGAATGTGTCTCTGAYTACTATGAACCAGACTGTTCTTCACTGGATGATGTTGAGGATCAAGCACATTAGATACTTCTAAATCCCAGGCCTACCATAATTGTTTTTTTTTTTGGAGGGTGGGAGGGAGGAAGGGGTTATATCATGATATAAGACAAATTAATAGTCCATAATTTTTAATGCATTAAAATGTATAAATGTGATACAATCACGGTTAAGGGATCCCATTGCTATAGTGATTTTCATTTGACTGTGAAAATGTACAAAGTACTGTTTTGCTTATCTCAGATACGTCTCATTTGCAGGTTACGTCACAGCGGCCATCTTGGAGGAAATTTAACAAAGGATTTCTCATTAGTATCTATTGTTCATTCCTCCAACATGGCCTCCGGTCTTTTATCTTTTGAATCTCATGGGAATGGTTGAAAACCATCAATTGAATGGCTACTCTACTTTTTAACTCTTTCACGAAAATCACTAAAATCATCAAATGCTTTTAGTATCCATCAGTGCCAGAGGAAAATGTTCACCGATGCATTTTAACGCGACTGCCAGAGGTGCTCGCATCTAGGGGGTTTTGGGGCATAGTCCCCTGGAAATTTTGAAATTCAGAAATTAAGGTCAACGTCTGAAACAGGCCTTAGTCTTACATACAATATAATTAGGTTTTGCAACATGATAGTCTAAATTATACTAATATAGTTCAGTCTGTGGAACAAAATCTA